TAAAACTGCTCTATGCAACACAATGACCAGTAGTAATACTGGAGTCATGCACGATCAAACTAGAAACCAGTTCTGCAGGAGGAGAGTGAAACAGAAAACCAAACGCTGAAAGCTGACAGGATGATGGTCATCATTAGTTAAATATCAAACCACTTCTTCAGTCTTTGGGCTGGAGTGTTATCTTTGGATAAATAAAGTACAGATAATGTCACTGTTTTACAGATTTTTCATGTTTTCAAGTATTTTGTATTTCAAGCAATAATTTACATGTTGACAGTAAAAACAAACAAACAAACAAAACAGGCCAAACTTTAAATAATGTCCATATGAACAATCTAAATTTCTAATGTAGAATTACATGGTTTTACTGAATTTAAATTCGTAGAAAATAACATTATTCTACATATTTTTTTCCCCATTATTTCAATATAAATCATGCACATTAAGGACTGGTATGGGAAATCATTTGTGTTCTGAACAGATGTTCCCTGTTTTGATAAATTACTCATAATGTCTTAAAATCACAGAAAAAAATGACATAATATCCTTTAAAAGCAAGAGTTCTGTTTATATATACATATAAATGAACAAATAGTATTAGAATCATTTATTATTATTTATTGGTGAATTGTTGTTATACTATACATAATATAATAACAATATTTCACTATGTTCTTTAGACTTGTGTGGAACCCTTGCTGACATATTTCCATTGTTTTCTGCACAGATTTTTCTTTCTTTTGTTGTTTTTGCTGTACGGTTGTTTTTTGTTTGTTTGTTTTTAATCCAGGTCTGGTCTAAATTGATCTACATGTAATAAAAAGCTGTTCTTTTTTGACACGTTCACAGTTGGAATGAAGTTTTCACAAATCAGAGACTCTGTTTTAAAGACCCTTTAACTTCTGCAGGACAGTCTAGTCTAAATTTGACTCTTTGTTTCTTTATAGTGATTTCAGATCTGATTGTCACCAATGAAAAGTCAAGGTTTTCTTTTGAGGACAGTGTACGTAATTCTTTTTCCTTTCTCTCTCTCTCTCTCTCTCTCTCTCTCTCTCTCTCTCTCTCTCTCTCTCTGCTTCTTTTCAATTCAACAACGAAAGTGAAACTAGCTTTACTGCCTTTCTGACGCAAATTCCGTGTCCGGTGAACACCACTACAGCTCTGAAATCCAACGAGTGAAAATAAACGTCGAGGTACAACCTGGTAGAAGAACAACGCAGAAATGGTGTTCAGGGTCATCGTGAATTTTCAACATGTGAAGAAGTGGGCAATCGACCTGTGCGACACCGAGGAGCAGTTTAAGACCATCACAGTGCTGCAGCTGAAGTACTCCTTTGGGGGAGGGGTATGACTGACAAGAGCCTGAGCACTCAAGATCCACTGTTCTGTTTCAGCCATCACATATAGGACTCTGTCACAAGTTCTCATCAGATCGGCTGATTGCATGGCTGCTCTTTTTTTTTTTTTTTTTTTTTAAATCAATATATCCGCTTTCATAACTGTTGATTCACATATCACAAGTGTGCACATACACATAGCTGGTAAGCTAACGACCTGACTTAGAAGACATACAGTATGATATGACAAAAATCCAGAGTTTGTTTTTTCCTCCAATACAAAGTTTGACCCTCTGAAAGTCTGAATGCAAGAGTGTTGGATCACCAGTGTGCAAGTTGCCTAAATAAAGTTTACCTTCATCTACTCATTTTTACCTTTTATAGATGACAAACACAGTAAATCCTAGTGATAACAACGAAAATAAGAAAACAAATTAAAAAAGGATTGATACATAGATGGATGGAAAATGTAAGTCAGATCACTATGCTGTTACCTAATCACCAAATGTCACAAAGTGTAAATATCATTACCCATAGCCTACTCAACTGGCTGTCAGAGATGGCAAAAGTACTTGATTTCAGTACTTAGTAAAAGTACTGATACTGCAATAAAACTACTCTGGTAAAAGTAAAAGTACAAAAGTACTTCATCATGAATGTACGCGAGTAAAAAAGTAAAAAAGTGAAAACAGTCAATGATGTCATTTGACCTAAAAATTTAATTCAGTGAAATATTGGCTTTGGGGCAGCTATGGCTTTTAAAATAAATGTTATAAAACAGAAATAGTAGCATTTCAATGCAGCTGCATCACTGAATGAGATCATTGGATAGTTACGTTATCAGCTGTTTGAGCATACCAAGGTTTGAGCTCTGATTCATGGGGACAAAAAATGCTAAAGCAAAGGCAGTTTTGATCAACACCTAACTTTAGAGCAGATCAGGGTAAACAAATTAGGGAAAAAACTGAAAACAAAAACGTGTGTGATCTAAAAAGTAAGTATCCCCTTTTTAAAATGTAAAAAGTAGAAAGTACATATACTTGTGTTTCAAA